AATATAGGACTTTGACCTAAATCCTATTGAATATTTTTTGGAAGGAACTGAAACAAGTTGTCTGGAGAAGGCACACTTCAAACATGAGACAAATGGAGCAGTTTGCTCAGGTTGGTTGGGTCCAAAATATGAGAGGAGTAGACAGTTCATTGACAGCTACAGGAAATGTTTGATTGCAGTTATTGCCTCAAAAGGTTGTGCAATAAAATATTAAGTTGATGGTACCTTCCCTTTTGTCCAGCCTTGTTTCAAGAGTTTATTTTCTAAAATAATTTTGTTAAGGTGTGGTTGAAATCAATGTTGGACTTTGATTAGTTCACTTTCATATAATTCAGATGGTCGATCAGCCAATCAGCTGTCTCTGTTTCTTTAGTAAAAGTCCTCCTTACTACTCCAAACATTTTTTGATCCACTTTAGGAGCCGTTTTTAGGCTTTGAGAACATCAATCACTTAACATTGAGGTTTCAGGGTTCTTTGAGCATAGATTCTTGATTATTTCCTGATCATTTTCTGTCATACTTCTGTAGAAATAAAATATGGTGTGCTTTCTTTTCACCATGACACGGGTTCTGACAACCTGATCCACTTTAGCTCGTGTTAAATCCTGGATACTAGAGCACTGATCCATCGGATATTCATAACTACTCTAGATACTGGAGCTTTAACAGTTTAAAGGAATGAGGGGAGGCAGTCTGGCAGTCTGGCCTTAGTGTGGCCAAACAAAACTGCTTTTTATTGCAGCGTTAATGATGAAGATGCAAGGTTGGTTAGCCCTGTGTTTAAAGGAGCATCTTCCATCTCTGCAGGTGAAAAACTGAGAGTACATAAGAAGAAGTGTTAGAGCGTTCAACCCTTGCATGCTTGTCACAACGGGCTGAGTGTTCAGTTTGGACTCTCCAGTCGAAGGCGTGCTGTTTAATCATCAGATACGGATTGGGGCCTCAGTTTCAGACCTTGGGAGGCTCCGAGGAGTTCAACATGGAGCCAAAGTGTGAGGAGATGCACGCCTGGTGGGAAGAGAAAGGCAGGGGGGCTGTTCCTGACAGCAAAGGGCATATCTGCTCCACTTCCTCTCAACGGGCCTTTTTCAGGAAAGCACAGCGACAGGTCAGAGGTTGCACCCCAGTGCAGCAACTGGTGTGGACCTGAGCATGACCCCACAACCGGTTCCACTCTCTCTCTGCCAGCGTAGCAGCAAACCCAGCACAGGAGGGGAGAACAACTCTCAAAGGTCTGCTTTTTGTCTTCATATGAGGCGCATTAATTCTCACAGAGGCTCACATCTTTATTCATTATCGGCCTGCGGTGTCCACTCAATCAGTCAGTTAAAGGCTGACGGAGCAAGCGCTGCACAAACACAGCGCGGAGAGGGAGTAAAAAGGGAGGTTATGCTCCACACCACACAGCCCGAGAAGACACTGCAGCACAGAGAGAGACAAACAGGGGCGGGTTGGGGAGGAAGAGGACAAAATGTGAGAAAGCTCTTCTGAATAACGAACTGAAGAGGATGGGGAAAAGAGAGAAGCTGGATTGAGAGGTTCAAAGCAAAACGAGTGGAGAAAAGAGTCAATAAGAGTCGGAGACTGGAGGACAACAACACCTCCACTAACTACTGAGGTAAAGGAGCAGGACTGGGGGGGTGAGAGTGTGTGAGAGTTAGCGAGAGGGAGGGATATTCACTGCACTGTTGTGTGACTGGAAATTTAATAGAGTAAGTGAGGGAGGGAGGAGGAAGAGAAGCAAGGAGCGACGCAATGCAAAAGCTCAGAGCGAGAGACGCTGCTGTCGGCATGAAGCAAGAGCTCAGGCTCTTCCCAAGTCTGTTCGACTCAATGTCTTTAAAGTGAGAACAGGTTGGCCACCCTGTTGCTGCTTCCACTCAGTGCACACGCCCATCAGGCATTACATTATGACCGCATGTTTTAATAGGTGGGATACAGATCAGGTGCCATACAAATTTTTTCTTTTTTTGAGTTTTTTTTAATGTTTCACATCAAAGAAAGTTTGAAAATCCAACAAAGGCAATTTGATTGAATATAATATTTAATAATATTTCATTTATCTTCTTTTTTTTTTTTTTTTTAGCATTTACCCCTTTTCCTTTTGTTGGCATAAGATAATTAAAATGAGTAATCAGGAAAAACTACATTTAACTTCATATTTGAAAAATTGAAAAATCCCCTAAATTATTTCGACCTGACAGCATGAAGTAGGTTTATAAATTTCAAGAAAGTAACAGTGTTAGACCTAAAAGACATTTAATTTCACTGTCTTCTATCAGTTTTAGGACCCCACTGAACACATGGAGATAATGTGAGGCAGTGAGGAATCTTCAGGGGGGTTGATCTACCAAAATCACTTCAAGACTTGAATCAACGACTTATCCAGGAGGTCAGAAGAGATTCCAGAACATCTGAACCTCAGCAGGCCTCAATCAGTTCAGTTAAGGTCAGAGGTCATGATTCAGAGATAAGAAACAGACTGAGCTGCTGAGAAGAATTCACTGCTGACCCAAAACAAACGGAAAGCCCATCTAACCAACAAACATCCTGATTACCGCTGGGAAAACATTCTGGTGATGAGACAAAAAGTAAAATTCTTATCTGGTATCAAACCATTTCACACCTGGTAATGTGATGTTCTGCATCTGCTTTGCTGCTCCAGTGCCTGAATTTTTGCAGTAAAGGAACCATAAGCTTGGTGCTGTGGCCGAAAAGCTTGTTTTGTTTTGTGTTGAATAAAGTGCACTGCAAAAACTGATCTAAAAATAAATAAGGAATCTGAAAATAGGTTTATATGCTCTTAATTTAAGCAGATAAATAAATAATTGGATATGATGCATTTAAAATAAGAAATTTTATTTTATTTTTTTTCTAAAAATGAAACATCTTATTTAATTGAGATATTATTTTACATACTTCATCATAAGGGAAGGTAGACTTTTTAAAGAAATAGATCACTTATTATTTTTACTTATTAAGTGGCTTCAGATCAATGAAACCAAAAACTCACTGTACGTAATGCCAGTTGCATTCCATAACTGGTGACAGTGACTTTTTTTTCCAACAAGGGCCGTTTTTTGTTTTTTGTTTTTTTTTGATACACTTTATCCATTAATACAATCATTAGGTTTCCTTAGTTCATCTTTGTCTCATATAAGGGCCCCAAATTATGCAAAATTAACTTTATATACATATTGCCAAGTCATGTGTCCTGAAACCTGTTCACAAGGTTCACAAATAAAAAAAACCCTTTCACCTCTATCCTTGCCTTTCTCCACCTCTTAGATGTGTGCTCAAAATACTCAGTTTGAAAAGCATTCCCCTGATGATGTCATAAGGGGAATTAAGCTGTCCAGAGCGGTCTGTCTTTAGCCCATCACTCAAACTACAGCCTTCACATAATGTATTATTCCATGCTCCTAGGCCATCATTACGATCTCTGGATGGTTGCCATGGTTGCAGGTTGTGAGGGATGGCCTTCGGTAGGACAAGGGTGTGGAAAGCCAAAACAGCTAGTTTAGAAGAGGGCTGAATGAGCAGCTTTTTGGTAAAGGCTATTTGCTTAATCTGACAGGAATTTTTCTGCACAAATGGCTTAAACCTTCTCTGGGGGCCTGAGTGTTATTTTTTCTTATTTTCAGAGGTAGAATAATATGGCCTTTAAAAGATTGTTGATAATTTCAAACATTTAATGGGACAAAACTAAATTGAGAACAGTTTAGGAACAGACCAGATGAAGCTACTATCAGAAAAAGCAGAGAGACCGTAACTTCAGAGATTCAACTAACAAATCCATTATCCAGTCCATTATCTGAGGCCATGAGAATATCATTAGTGACTAGAGCTGTTTCAGTGCTATGATGAGCTCTAAAGCCAGACTGAAACTCTTCAAAAAGTTCATCATCGCACACTTGTTTGGCAACTACTTTCTTAAAAATTTTAGAAGAGAAAGGAAGATTGGATATAGATCTATAATTGACCAAGTCATCAGATTAGGTTATACTTCCAGGTTGAGAAGATTTTAACTTTTTTTTTTTTTTTATAGAAACAGACAATTATATTATAACATATTTGTTGTTAATCCTGCACCTTTCCTTGGACAAAACATTTAATTTATATTTTTAGGAAACAGCGGCTGTTTAGCCTTGCAATCTGTGTGGAGGGTGCTTCAGACTTGTCTGCTGGATATGTCCAAGTTAGAGGCATTTCTTAAAAAGTTAAAACACAGCCATATCCTTATATGACCATTCCCATTGTAACATTTGCTTTAAGTAAATACAAAGAGAAGTACGGAAGAGGATTAAGGCCACTGAAAAAAAAAATTCTGACTTTTTTCTCAGAATTCTGACTTTAATCTCAGAACTTTGGATCTTAATGTAGATGGGCACCATGAAGGAATAGATGTGGGAGCACTTAGCTTCACTGACAAAGATGTGAGTTGTTTGAGGTGGCCAGTGACACATTGGTGGAAAATGATGGAATTAGGCAACTTTTTACGTGCTCGAGGGCTCCCCTCATTAATGGAGGAGCAGAAGGTCATTAAAACAAGAGAGCAAGTCTCTAAAACAGACATGGCTATGGAAAAAAGTCAGAATTCTGACAATAAAGTCAGAATTCTGAGATTAAAGTCAGAATTCAGAGAAAAAAGCCAGAATTCTGACTTTTTTCCCATATTAAACTGAAATAAAATTTAAAAATCAGTTAACTTTTTTTCTTTTTCAGTGGCCCTAATCCTTTTCCGTAGAGGAGCCATACATATTTGGAATATATACATTTGAATAAATAAATCTTGAAATAAAGTAACTAATAAAAATAAACACTTTTTTTCTCGATAAGATGCCACTTTAGTGCACCTGCTGTGCTGGCGTCTGCAGTGGAAGCAGCCCAGGTGGAGCTGTGTTGCCAAGCAGCGAATGTTCCTTGAAACAAGCGAAAAACGCCGCCATAATCAGAAGATTTGCTGCAACTATCCGACTACATCATATTGCATGTTGTGCATGCTGCCTCAGTTGATCTATTCAGGTTATTGTAGTGTGGAAAAAAATAATAATAATCCTGCAGCCGCAGGATGAGTCCAACATTCTCTGAGCGCGTCCTCCGGTGGTTTCATCCACCTGAAGATTTCTGAGGCAATTCCCATCATACCAGCGGCGGCAGCGCAGCACTTGGAAACGCTGAATCAATTTGAGAGAGAGGGAGAAAGAGAGAGAAAGAGAGAAAGAGGGAGAAGGAGAAGGGACAGCGTCGGCGGCGGCTCTGCAGTGGAATACGCGCTTATCTGAGGAAAGCTTGGAGCGACGTTGCGTTTTTTTTTGACTCTATGATGGCATTACTGGATTTTAACAACATGGTGAGTCTGGATGACTTTCACTGATGCATGTTTATGTAATAAAGGGGGTGGGTGCGTGTGCGCGCCTGTGTCCTGACAGTGAAGTGCGTTTTCTCCGAGCGCGTCAAAACGCTTGGAAATTGAAATGATTCCTGCGATGCTGCGAAGCTCCAGCTGTCCTTTTTGGTTGCTCTCTGATGCTGACTCTCAAGGTGCGCTCATGTACAGGAATAACACGTATGATCCGACAGTCACATGTCAGGTATATGTATGTTCATTTATTTTTTCCCCCGTTATCCAAACTTTTCCCTGTTGGTTGTTTGTTTTTCCGGAGTTGCTGTAACCTTGGGCCATAAGAAAAGCAGCATCCACTGCTGCCCAAGCTGTTCTACTGAAATCCACTTCTTTTTAACCCCTCCCTGATCGGATCAGTCTGTTGCTTCTCCTTTTACTCCAGCTATTCTTGGCCCCCACCGATAACCGTAGATTTTGAGAAACGCGCAGCCACCTTTGCGGGTTTTTACGCGCGGTGCAAGCTTTGGGTAAGAAGCCCTGGGCTCCCTCCGGCTGAGAACAAGGAGAGGATAGATTAGAGGCTGATGAATGATCTACACTGAAAAAAGGGACTTTTTGGTCCTGTGATATTTCCTCGATTTTTCTGCAAATTATACTGCAGATTGCCACGTAAATGCGTTTACTTAAAGATGACACATTTTATTTGATGCGTTACTTAGAACTATTTTGTAAATCTATATCCACCAGAAGTCAAGTAATTTTAATGCATCTTAACAAACCGTATTAAGAAAACAATTGCAATAAGTTACGAACTTAACAGACGCATATAATATTGATATTAGGAGTAAACTTTGCTTTTTACTAGCCTGGAAATCAGAAACAGGAAGTATTGTTTTCTTGTCGGCTGCACAGGGTTGCAGTTTGCAGCACAGCCATGAGGTTCCTGGTTCGATTCCTGGCCCAGGGCCTTTCTGCATAGAGTTTAGGTGTTCTCCCCATTCATACGTAGGTTCTCTCTGGGTACTCCTGCTACCTCCAACAGCATGACTGTTGGGTTAATTTGCTTCTCTAGATTCTCAGGGTTGTATGTCTCTGTGTAAAAGTCACTAGCAACACAAAAGTACATATTTTGTTGACAAGAGAAATTTACTAGTAAAATGTACTTGTTTTTTTGTTAAATCAACTCTTTTTAGTAGTTAAAATCAACTTTTACTGAGTGAAATTTAGAAAGCATTTTAATGTGGAAAGAGTCACCAAGCTTTTTCTAAGTAAATAGTACTCAGGAATTTTTTTCAGTGTACTGGCTATGTCTGCAAAACAATGTCACGGTTATGAGGGGATTTGAATGTTTATATGGAGAAATTCGTAAAATCTGAGTGGACTGGGAACAGAGCATGGACATAAATGGAGCAGCAGGATGATCCCCTAACCTTTTTTATACGGTAACTAAGATATTAATGGGATGTTTGTTGGATGCAATGGGGCATGGAAACAGGGACTGACACAGGGCTCTGTAAAAGATTGCATTTATTTGAAATTATAACATAAGTATATTTTTGTGGAATTTTACATGGCAGACTTTCCTCTGTAGCTCTGCTGCAAGTTCAGGCCAAAGAGACAAAATCTCTGTTTTAGCTCCCTCCATCCTTATATAAACTTTGACAAGCCTCCCTTTCCCATCCAATCAGGATACAACATCTGTCCCACAGCATGATACTGCCGTGTTCAGAGGGTAATGTTTAGAAATTGTTTTTTTAATGGAATGCCCCTTGAGATGTGTCATCTCGTTGCCTCAAAAATGTCAGAAAGTTTAAATTTGGTCACATTCGAACAGATTAGCTTATGCCACTACTAAGATGTGTTTCCTTTGATGCATTGCTCATTTATTCTGACCTTTCTATATGCTGTCATGTTCCAGCCATAAACTCAGTGGGAATTTTCAAGGTTAATACTGTAACTTTAACAGAAAATTTCAGAAATTGCAGCTGCAGGTCTTTAGAGAAATGACTCCTTAAATTAAATTTAGTTTTCTCATGTTTCTTATCTAAATAGCTCTTTCTAGATCAGACTGATCTGAAGATGTCTTTAAATGTCAGTTTTCATGTCTTGCCACAGATCCTCGAAAGGTGTTTATTTTTGTCTGAATTTTGGTTGTGTCAATCTGACACATAATTTGAAAATGAATTCAAAGCATTTTGTTGAAGCTTTGGGTAAAACAAAATAGTGTAAGGACAACTTTTAACAGGTTTTCTTTCTGCTTCATTCCTCTTCCTGTTAATTCTGACCATATCCCACAGTATTATGGTGCCACCACCAAGTTCCATCATCATATATTCAGGATGATGTAAACATTTTCTGCCGCAAACAGCATTTTCATGTTAGTTGTCCTCTTGAAAAACTCTTTCACTGAAGCTTGCTGGTGAACTTTCTCAGTCATCCAGGTCATAGTCATTCCAAAAAACAAAACAAAACAATCCACTGGACTTTGAATCCAAGTTTAAAGCCGTTTTGCTTCCCATCCAGGAAGCTTTTTCAATTCAAAATGAAACGTCTTTAAACTTGGAAACAAAGTCCAGTGGATTGTTTTATTTATTTATTTATTTGGAAGCTTTCACTGAAGCTGTGAATCTCTGCAGCTCCTCCAGAGTTACCATATGCCTTTTAGGTGTATCGCTGAGAATAAAAAAAAAAATATATATAGTTTTTTTTCTGAGTAACCTGACAATTTAAGTACTATTGGTAGCTCTACAGTAGCTTCCTCTTTTTTAACTATTAGATGATGGATTGGACAGAGATCAGTAGGATATTCAAAACTAAAGAACTTGATTTAGAACCCAAACCTGCTTAAAAGGAACCATAACTTTCTCCTTGACCTTTTAGATGTATTGTCTGGTTTTCACAGAGATTTTAGTTGCCTGATGTTCTCTAAAAACACCCCTATCCTTAGATAGAACTAAATTAGTCAGGGGTATTAGGTTACGAAAGGGTGAATACAAATGCACACAGAAGTTCCTATAACATACAGACTGAAATACGTTTTGAAAAAAAAAATGGGATCACTATTCTGTAGCTTGCTGCTCTTCTCTGTACCTGTAAACTTAAAGGCCATCATAGATCTATCTCCATCAGAATGACCATGGCTTATACTCTTTATGGCTATGCACTTTACAATACATTTTACCGGATCCAAAGTGGTAAAACTTTAAGATGGTGGTAAGTTTTTTATGTTGGCTGTAAAATCGGCCATGTTATCTACTGTATGCTGAGCTGTGAGGAAGAGAGTCTTTGTCATCTGAAGAGTACGAGGCGTGCAGCAGCGGCAGCAACACCAGTCACTACAAGGCCACACTTTCATGGGAAGCTTGTCACAAAGTATCATATTTAAAGGCAAGGTCCTCCAGCCCAGGCAGCGGGGACTTGGTTTCAGGATATCAAGACATGTTTGTGCTGAAATGCGAGGCCGAAATGTCAGCAGGATTTGTTGATTTTCAACTTTCGCTCCTCGAACCACAGAGTGACCTGAGCTGAAGTGATGACAGAGCGAGTTGGGTCACTGAGAGGAGTCACTTAAAAAAGAGGGGACGCTCTTTTATTATTTCAGGTCAGAATGCTGAGAATTTAGTCTTTGGGAACATTTCTCACCCTCAAGGTATACCAATGTTTTAAAAATGTTCGGTTTATAAAATGAAGACAACTAATCTGTCGATAATTTTTTTTTTGATTAATTGATTAATAATCAGATATCGAAAGTCCTGGATAGAGGACAGATGAAAAAGTTTTTTTCTTAAATGCAAAGTATTTATATAAATTTTTACATTTTTCTAACGATTACTGCCCTTAGGGGGTCATTTTGTCATCTAAAGGCATTATTTAGAGTCTCTATACTCCAGTTAATGATTAATCGATAACTAAATAAGTTGACAATGATTTCAATAATTAATTAATCACGATTAATCTGATTAATTGTTTCAGCCCTATATAAAAAACCATAAACTTTTCCAAAGAGGCAAGGGCATGGGGCCCCTCCCCAACTTGCTGCTGTGCATTGAGGAAATATTTCCTGTAGCAAAAAATAATGACTTTAAAATTAAGAAAAGACTGCCTATCATAGACTGTTTTTAGAAGGTGGGTTTTCACTGTTAAAAACAACCTATATGATTTATCCGAAAAAAGCAAAGGTAACAATTTGCACTCAGTTACGTAGGTTGAGTGAAATTACTCAAAAGTTATTAGTAAAGTGTATTTATTTTCAAAAGCTATGAAGCACCAAGAGAATTAGGTTATTTCATCTCAAAGTTTAACATTTTCAGTACAGAAAGGCCTCAGGCCTGGGATTAAATCTGCAATCTCCATGTTGCAAGGCAGCAGTGTTTTAAAGCAGGCCTCCATCCAGGCTATTATTGTGCCTTTTCAACAGTCACTTATACTGCAGATCTAATAGGTCTGCACAATTAGTCAAATGGATGACTTAAAAAAAAAATCATGAAGGTCTACATCCAGTTATACTAAGGAACTAATTTTAAAAATTTTAATGCTGTCTTGTTCTGAATGGTTCAGCAAAGAAATTACTTCCCGGCACATATGAAAGCCAAAATCTTTGTATACATTTTATTTTAGATATTTTGATTTTGGATTTGCTGCTATTAACAAAAAGGTACCTTTTTGTAATCTTCTACCTATGTAAAGATGCGTTTAAATGATTTTCATGAATTGTATTTAGCATCGATCAAACTCCCTTTTAAGAGTGTATGTATCAGCTAATTTAAATGTTTATATTAAGGCTCATGACCTAATAAAAAATCTGATTAGTGAGGTAACTTCCAATAGCTTTGCATAGAAAGAAAAAAAGTTTGATATTTTACTAAAGTTTGTAAAGTAAATGTGAAAAGTATTGAGCCCCTGATCAGAAAAAGCCTCTAATCAGTATATATATATAAAAACATGTCCCCCTTTTCAATATTTAGAGTGAAATGTCTAGAAAAAACAGAACTAAAGTCAGTCTCCTT